CCAGTATTTCACAGGGTTAGCTACACTGACTCCTTGCGATCTTGCTACGGTACGAAAGCGCAAAAATGCATCATCGCTCCGGCCCGCCTGGTGCGTTCCAGCCTGGGTTGTTGCTACACTGAGCAAAAACGCATACTGTCGAGAGGTTATTCGTGTGTGTGTGTGTGTGTGTGTGTGTGTGTGTGTTTGTTCGGAAGCGAGTGAACTTTGTCACTCATTTTTAACGCAGCAACCAAGAAAGCTAGAAGGCTGAAATTTTAAGGTCATATTCCCACCTCATGTGTCACCCTCCCGCTCCAAAATCTTTGCTCATACGCATCTTAACCTGCATACGGAACCTCGAAGAAAATATGCAAATTTCTTGGCGAGAACGACTTCTTGAACCAGACAAGATAGAAAGCTGAAACTTTGCAGGAATATTCTCTGTGCACGTATAAGCTAAAGATTTCAAATCCAGCCATTGCACACGCTTATACCGCGCGTACGGCGACGTCAAAGTTTGCAGTTGGCACTGTGCTTTCTCGGAAACTAGTCGGAGAACAATAGTTGAAATCTTGTCAGAGCATTTATCATTTATATACGGAACCGTACACCTAAAATGAGTTCCGACTTGCACTTGCGCCACGACTTAGGGCACTTAAAAGGTATTTGTAGCGAAGTGGCCATTTCGCTTACCAGGCAAGCTGCGAAGCTCAAACTTTGCAAGGACATTCTATATACACGTGTGCTTTCAGTTCAGCCTGGAGGTGAAATTTCCCGCCCGCAAACATCATCAATTTTATCGCCAACTCAAGAGCGAGTGCTTTGCAGATTTCATAGTCCTCTTCTGAATTCCTTGAAATTTGCATTTTTTTTTTCAAAGAGCGAGCATTTACAGGAAAAACGACCAGGCTTCATACAAATCCAGGCTGAAACGTATCAGGTGGGCCGATGCGATCATGCGTTTTTGCACTTCTCGTGCTGTCGCAAGATCGCAAGGGGTCACAGTAGCTAGTTTTGCGACATACTGGCCTTCGAAGTTCAGGAAATTAACTGTGCAGCTTTGTGGCATGTCAGTTGTAGATATCGACTTCAGTAACTCGACAAATAGAAAGTTGCTGGTCCGCGAAAAAGGCCCTAACAGAAGAGTTAAATCTGAAATCTTTCTGTCGCACATGAGTAGCGAATAGTCCCTTAAAATTAAAGCCTTCCATCTTTTCTCGTTCCCGAGTTAGTGATTTTCCCCACAAAAATTTCTACATGTCCATACGTGGGTTCCGGATGCTTCTAAGCAGCTGACTTTGGTCGGACATGAGTAGGGAAGATTCCCCTAAAGTTTCAGTTTTCTGGCTCCTTTCGTTCCGACCTAGTAAATTCCCCGCCAAAACTTCCGCGTGTCCGTAAGTGGGCTCGGGCTATACTATAAAGCTGATTTTGGTCGTACATAAGTATGGAGCACTCCCTAAAGTTTCAGCTTTCTGGGTTTTCTCGTTCCCGAATGAGTGACTTTCCCGCCAAAACTTCCATATATCCGCACGTGGGTCCCCGGCAGTCCTAAGCAGCTGACTATGAAGTTTTTTGGTCGCACATGATTATTGAATATTCCCCTAAAATTTCAGATTTTTAGCTTTTCTCGTTCCCGAGTGAGCAATTTTCTCGTCATAAATTTCACGGGCCCGTACGTAAGTGCTGGGCAGTTCGGGGCAGCTGAATTTGAAATCTTTTTGTCACACATAGGTAGGAAACATTACCCTAATGCTCAAGCTTTCTAACTTTTTTCGTTCTCGAGTTAGTAAATTTCCCGTCAAAACTTTCACGTGCTCGTACGCGGAGCCCAGATGTGCGTGAGGGTTGGACACCGCAGCCCAAACGACGCTTTTCCTTCTGCATGCCAGAGGAGGCCAAAACACGGCCAATATGAGTCCAAGTGTTCGATAACAGCTCAAGAATTATTTCTGTTACTAGTGATCTTCAAGTTTAGCACAAAAACGCATGATCGCACCGCCAAACCTAGTGCATTGCAGCCTGGGTTTTTGTAAGGAAGTGAACTTGAAAAGACCAACGCGTCCGAAACAGATGAAATTTTCGGAATACTCACAGCTAAACCGCAAATAGAAATGTCGATTTAGAAGCTGACATACTCAGAAAAAGGCATCACAATTTTCAGCCGAAGACTGTATATCGAAGGACTTAGTATCGGAGAGGATAGGGCGTGGCTCTTGAACATCACTTTGCTAAAAGCAGTGACGTACAGATGCATAAAATGGTCAACGACGAAAGCAAAAAGCAGACGCTTTTTATAACAGGGCAAGCAGTGGAGTGAGGAATGCTTGAAATTTTCTTGTCTTTTCGTGACCAGCATATGCCTGGAAGTATTTCACTGCTGTCAAACGAGAGAGCGGAACCTGTCAAATTTCCCTCGAACTACTAAAAGCTAGTTTACATTGTGTGAGTGGTAACCATGAGGGAATAAACTGCTACTCGGGGACTTCCGAAAAGGTGCCCCTCATACATCGAACAAGCGATGGATGCCAACTCAATACAAGCAAGTGAAACCAAGGATCTGGCGTAACAACGCCCGGCAAATGGAAAAGGCCTCAGTTGCATTACTGACATCGGATTCCGCATGGACTGTAGGAGACTCACTAAATTTATACAATAACTTAAACTTACGCTATGGGCAGCGTCGATAAAGCAAGACATTCGACGGCTCGCTGTTTGAAAATCAGACGGGCCATAATCACACTGAAAAAGTTTGATTTCAGTCGGCGCAGCGTAATTAATGCGTTCCGAATCCGAAAAGGCATTTTTACTGAAACGATTTCTAAAGATGCTCACTTTAAGTCGGCCATTTTTCTCGCACAAAAGCCCCAGTAGTTGCATTTTGATCCATAATGAAGTATAATATCCACCATAAGTCTAAAATTAAATATCACAGACAATACATAAACTTCTGCCAGTCGCTGTCAGACCGTTCAATAAACCCAATAACGTACTTGGACAAAAAGGCGCTCATACGAGTTGAAAGTGGCACTTTTCAGACCTCCGGTAACAACGCATTGCAGCGCAATAAAGCGTATTACAAGCACTGGGTCATAAGCTTCAATGATCAAATTCTCGATCTGCGGAATCACGCGATCACCATATTCGCCTTGTACAATATCTAAAAATAACTGCTTCAGGCATGAAAAAGTTTTTTTTGACAAAAAACAATTCAGAAAAGTTAAAACAAGCCCCTCCCCCCCACCACCCTTCAGAAGAAAAACGACGAAAAATAACTCCAGTCCTTACTCAGGAATATCAAT